AGAAACCTCTCAGGATGAAGCTGCAGAGCTGCTGACCAGAGCTGGGCTCTGCTGGTTGCCCTCAGCAGCTGCAGCTGTGGGGGCTGAAATCTGCAGGAGTAGCACAAAATCTGCAGGAGCAACACAAAATCTGTTCCTTCTGTGTTTACCTCTGGATGTGTATGGGGCTGGTTACAGGGGAAATGCTCCATGACCAGTTTTGCACTTTTGGGGCACGCACAAAATACCAGAAATTTGAGATGATTCACTTGCATGCACATCTCTCTCTTGTGCAGCTTCCCCTCTTTTTAAGATTTATACTTCAAGGATTTTCAGGCTGCTTCTCAGCATATGGCCAAAGGGTTTATGAGGCTATGAAACAGGCATGAAAAAAGCTCCATGTTTCATGGAAGTGCTGTGTGGTTTGAATAGTTAATGCATGCATATGCATATTCAGAGCTTTGCATCAAAACCACTTGCATATCATTTGTGTGTAAATACAGGTTTCCACCACTCTACAGACAGCTAGCATCACATTATTTCTCATTCCCCTACTTCCCTGTGGGCTTTGCAGGTAACAGTAGTAGAAAAATAATGTGGTTTTCTATTTTTATAGGGGTTCAGCAGTTAACGTTCACTGCCAGGCACACTCCTTTTCATGTCTGGCAGCTCTGCAGAACTTGGGTTGTGTGACTAAACTGTACTCATATGAAGCATGCTATTAAAATGGGAATGGCTGTTCAACACATTAAGGCTTCCTAGGCTCCAAGTGCATAAGGTGAATTTAAAGAAAGCCACTGAAACAACTCCTTAGGTAGGTTAAAAAACCCCACAGCCCTCTGGCCCCCAAGCTTGCCCCCTTGTCCCATGTAATAGGTATATTTAAAGTCAGTCTGTTGTTCAGCTGACACTTGCAGTGATGTAAGTGGCTGCAGCCAGCAATAGAAGTTCTGCCTTAGCAGCATTCAAATCCCCATCCTTTTTTCCCACATCATTTTTCATCTTTTCCTCATTTTTCATTTTCATCTGATGCACTCTGCTCTGTGCCCGCCAAATCCTTGTGTTGGCAGGAAGGTGTCATGGCACAGGAGTGAAGATGAACCTCTGGGGGACAAAGGTACCTGGGATTATAGCTTGAGGGCTGACTTGTTAGACCAGTCACAGAAGTTTTCTGAGACTCCCAGATTAATGCATTTACTGTAAACAATTCAATTTTCCCAAGGCATTCAGAGATAACCATTGTTGCCTTTGTTTGAGCAAGAGCAGTATTGACCTTTTGGCTTCCAGAAGAGAACAACTTGTTTAATTGCAGTATTTTCTTGATCAATGATTACAGTGTGCCCTTGCTTGTGCTGTTGAGAGTTGTTGAAAAACATCTGAACCAAAATAATAAATATATTTTGAAGATACACATGTGCACACCCTGTGTGTGTGTGTGTACATACACATAAATATGGGTTTCAAATACTCCAGTATAAGTGATTCTGCTTCACAGACACAGTGTCCTGGTTGCTTTTGGTAGCTGTAATTTTAGCCTTTTGATCTCACCTGTTAAGCATTTAAGTATTTCAAATTGCTCAGTTATTATGCTGGGAGTTAATAATGGGGGTTTCTGAAGTGCTCAGCCCAGCAAACAGATCCCACTTTTTCCAGCTTGAAAAAGGATTCTTCTAATTGTTTTCCAGAGTCACAGTTTAAATTTAGAATGGATAATGTTGCTGATGCATAATGGAAGATTTGATAGTTAGGAAATCAGACTAATAAAGACCAGATGTGTTTAACAAAGATTTAGTGAAGGAAAATGAGGAAAAGCCTTCCAACCTCTGTGTTGTGCTGTACAGGCAGCACTGATGCAGAGACACAGAGATTAATCTGGTCAAGATAAAACTAAATTACCTTGGAGTAGGAGATTTTTGAAGATGACTGTTTCTATTTCCATATTAAACACAAGGTCAACAGATGATAGACAAAGGGCAGGTCTGCCAAAAGAAAACAAAATATTTCACAAATTATATGGGAGAGAGTGGATGTTGTGCAATGCCACGGGGCCTTTCAAGAAGGAAAAACCAGAATGTGATGAATAAATAGCTGATTTGATTGCAGGTAACTTATTACTGTGATTAGTGCTAAATAGCCCTTTTCCTCAAGGAAGGGAGAAGAATTAAATGAGACTTTCTCTTGCTGCTGCCCTGGCTTTTGATTTGTCTTAGTCCTGAAAACACCAGCAGCTGTCTTCACACCAATTGCAAGAAATACTGTCTGGGTTCCCCCTACAGATTTCAGGTGCTAATATAACATGTATAATGCTCCATTTATGTGTTTTAATAATTACAAATGTCACCATTAGTTTGCCTTTGCATGTCCTGTGTGCCTCCAAAGTAAGCCCTTATTTTTAAAATGTCAAGATTTAGAAAAAAAAAATACTGGGCAAAAATGCTCCAGGCTTAATTGGGCATAATATCAGCAAAACGTGTTGGTTTTCAAGTCTATCAAAATAAATGGAAGTCAAATCAAAATAAAAAGTATAGCTTGGACATGTATCGGGTAAGATGAAGGGTTTTCTGTGTTAAAGCAGGCAAATGTTGATAACTTAGCTGAAACCTGAATTTAACTCCTCCATCCCACTTCTCCGAGAATATTATCACACCTAGCTTGTTTTGGGGGATTGATGGTTATGACAAGTGTATCAAATTTCATGCAGGTGATAATCTTTTATGTTTCCTGGGAGAAGAGAAAATAGCACTTTTATCTTGTGCCCAGGAGTCACAGAGAGCAGGAATTGCAGGTACATGCCACACAGAGTTCTTAAATAAAAATGCATTGAGAGCAGCACGTAGTGGAGATGGGCAAGGGGAGGAAAGTGGGAAAGGAGTGAGTCAAAAACTGTAGAGGAGCATTTATTGCATCTCCCCAGCTTTTATTCTAGTGCAGCACCGCCACAGAGAGTTATGAATATGTATTTTATTCAGACCTGAGGTGGCTATGAAAAACATAGTCTGCTTGGTTTTTTCAAGGGATTTGTAGCATTTTGGTTTTTCCTCCAGAATTCACTAATTTTGCAGAGATGATGCCTCATGTAATTCCTGTTTCTGTGCTGTAAATGCTGAAAAATCAGAGGGTTCTGACTTGCTCCCCTGTAAGTCCTATTTAGGGGAAAAGTTAATCTTGTTGTATATACTTACAGCTTTACTTTGAAGCCCACTTTTAAAAAGAACCCAAACCAAACAGTTTCAGAAGCTGAAAGACAAGTTTTAAGCTAGCAATGCCACTTCTGTTTAGGAGCACTGTACTCACAAGAAATGTGTAGCATCTGATTCTGTCTTCCCTGGGACACACGTTATGAATTCCAGACCTGGAAGACCAACCCAAAGATTGCTATTTCATTTTGCTGCCTTTGTGAAAAAATAAAAACAAAGACAAACTGCACAGAAATCCCCACAACAAACCCAGCCTTTTCTAAATGATTCTTAGTAATAAACACCAAGATGAAGGATAAGGTATGAGGCTGAGAAATCAGGCTTGTGGGGAAGGCAGGAGCAGTTAGCTTTGATGCAATCCTATGTGGGATTTTTGGCAAGTCACAGTGGGACAGATTTTGTAAGAGAGCCTAACTTCTGTGAAGACACCACAGTATGGGACTGCATTTTTAAGGGAGCTCAGCACCCAGTATGTTTGTTTGGAAGATCTGGCACTGATTGCTAGTACCAAGTGCTTGAAAATCTGTTCTGAGCTCCAAAAATCTGGCTCTGTGAGCATGATCCATGCCTCCTTCCAAACAATGCTATTAGTTCCCCTGAATTGAGGGGAGCAAACATGTGATTCTTTACTTCTGACTCTGATGGTAAATGAATTAATCAGATTTTCCTTTTTCCTGGTTTGTTTTATATGGCTGGGTTTCATGGGTATTTCTACTTGTGTGCTTTTTACAAGAAATGAGATACTCATAAACATAATAATAATAATATAAAAGTATGTTGCAAATGAATTGAAGCTATGAGGAATAGGCTAGGTCTTGAATAAATGTGGATTCTTTGCTTCTTTTTTGCCAGGGTCAGGATTAAATGTGTGAGAAGGTATTTTTTGTTCAGACTCAGATGTTTATTAGTTCTTATCTGTGTTACAGTCTCACAAACCATGAGCTCTGCAGCACTTCACTCTAACAAACTAAAAATGGAGCTGTATCTCCCTCTCTACAAGGCTTTTTAAGGATAAACTGTCCAATTAAGAAATTACACCTAAATTACTTTTGCTTTTAACCCCATAACCGACCACACAATGTGGACTTTTTATCCAATTACACAAACCCACCCAAACCCATGGAGAAGAAGGTGAAGGAGAAGGACCAGCCTCCACCCCAAAACCTCCATCTTGCTTTATATATGTTACTATATTCTAAACCCTTAAACTCTTAGTTTTGATATCACACACTTATATTCAAACTGCACACCCACAATCTCAGTTCTGTCATTCCATTTTGGAAGCTTCTCCACAGCCTCAGGTGAAATGCAGTTTTCTCTTGGGGGTCAGTGCCTGCCAGCACAGAAATTCTCAGCACCCAGGGCTCCAACAAATAAATGCCACTGGAATACAGATGAATCAACTAAAGCCGTAATTTAAAAACCACCATCCCCAGCAGTTTGAGGCTCTCAGGACATGGCTGGCATCCTGCACTCCCTGCTCACCTGCCAGGCTCCTGACCTGCATTAGAGCCTGGTGGGCACATCCAGGTGAACAACCCAGCGGTGCTGGTTCATGCCCCCTTTGGAGCTGGTTTGACTGCCAGCAGCTGTGTAGCTGAGCCCTGCAGCAGGGGCTCTGTGCTGTGCCATGGCTTTGGGTGCCATTCTGTGCATTTTGAGACCCCGTTGCACCGGGTGCAGGAGGAGCAGCATCCATCCGTGTGCTGTGCCCAGCACAGAGATGCTCCCAGGCCTCGGGTGTTGCACTCTGTCACTGCTGGCTGGCTGCTTGTTGTGGGAGGAGGAAATGTGCTAATGAAGTCCTCTTTTTTGTTATTTCAGGAAACCTACCATATGAATATAAAATAGTGATTGCTGGGAATCATGAACTGACATTTGATAAGGAATTCATGGCAGACCTTGTTAAACAAGATTACTACCGCTTTCCCTCTGTGTCCAAATTGAAACCAGAGGACTTTGACAATGTTCAGTCACTCCTGACAAATAGTATTTACTTACAAGATTCAGAGGTAACAGTTAAAGGATTCCGAATATATGGTGCCCCGTGGTAAGTCTCAATTTCAACTTTCTTTGCTGTTTATTGCTTGAACCCCAGCAGGAATCATTCCTGCTGAACCTGCATGAAGCTGCTTTGTTGCATTGCCCTGCAGAACAGAATCAGACCTAGCTGTAACCATTCTGACACAGTTGCTTTTATATTTTTTAAATTTCTTTTTCCTTTTCTTTTTTTGGGTAGATAATCTCTGTTTGGACATGTGTGTGAAATAAGACAAAAGGAACTCGTAACTATTTCTGTTCTGCCTGTTGAATGCACCTGAACTGTGGAGTCAATACTGACTCTGTGCTTGTGGATGAACTGTGGTGGCATTTTGGGATGCATTAGGGAAACTCCATTACATTCTATACTGCTGAACTATTTATATCTGCTGTGCTAATGGATTAGTGTGGTGGCATTTAACACCCACACAGCACAAGGGCACAAAGCAGCAGGTGCTTTAAGCCTTATTTTTGAGCAGTTCTGGGCATTGTTTTCTTTTTGCTTGTAAAGCTGTGATAACAGAATTTCAAACCCCTTTTGGTCTCGTTCCACCCATGTGTCAAGCATGTCATGCAGGAAAGACTGCTGCCCAGTTTTGTGCTAAGGAGATCCTGCCTTGTTTTTTCTACATGTCATTTAATTGTGATGCCTGACATCTTTCTCTGGAGCCTTGGGTAGCACTTGTTCTAAATTCTCATGCTGAGAGCAGCCACAGTCCTCTCAGGCTTTACCAGAGACCTGAACTTGAGTGATGGTGATAATCACTCTGCTGCTTGGAATTCTCAATTGTCAGCAGAAGCACCAAGATGCTAATTTATGCGCACCTATAAGAAGGGCTTGTTATGAGCTTATAACTTATTTTTGATGTCAGGCTTACTTTAAAGGTGAAAGCAGGAGAGGGGTTGAACTAGGAAATGGGACAAACCTATAAATGCATTAGAAATTTTCCCCTTCAGCTCATCTTTGTTGCCTTGGCCTGCATTCCTTGGTGGCTGATGTGGCACCACATGTGTTGATGCTTCTGATAATGCTTTCTGCTGGTCCTGTTGTATGCATCAGTGCTGGCTGGAAAGCTGTGATCTAGCTCTGTATCTCACAGTCTTGACTTGAGCTGCTAATCTTTTAATTTAAGTCATAGCCTTTAGCTACTAGTTTAAATCAGCCTGACATTGCTTGGCTAAAAAAAGAGTAATGCTCTAAATCCTTGCAATATCAGCAAATTGGGAAAGATGGTCTTAATTCAGGTTAGGAACCATCTCCTGGAGACATTTCAAAGTAATTTTTTTGTAATAGCAGCACGGAAGGCCTTGGGTGGTGAGGTGGGTTTGAGGGTGGCTGCAGGGTGAGGAGCTGGGGAAGATGTGCTGCCGAGGTTGGGGTTGTGTTCAGCTGCTTCTGTGTGGGTGCATCACACTTGGGAAGGCCTCTCCAGTGATTAGGGAGTGCAGGCATATTTCCAAATTTATTTGGATCCGATTTAATGAACTCAGCTTCCTACAGCACTGCTGGAGAGGCCTGGAGAACACAGGAGAGATCTGTGTGATGCACCTTTACATTTGTATGTACTGGCAATTCATCATGTTCCTTTTTCTTCTCTTTCCTTCCCAAATCTGTAATGGAAATCTGTCATCCTCTTGTCTCCAGCTGCATTTAGAAGTTCTTTCAATTTGCAGGTGTGCACATGGATTTAGAATGTTTGCTCTGCAATATTAAGGGACATCACATCAAGGCCCTGAGTGGTCCTAGCTGGAATAAGTGAATGGCATGTGTCTCCTGACCTGGCCATGGAAGACAAACCTGAATTAATCCTTCCTATAATCCATTGATACCTGGGTTTTTCCCATTAGTGATGCATGATAAATGAAGCTAGATAGTTAGAAATTGACACTGAGCCCTAACCAAGTGAGGATTTCTCTGTCTTGATCTTCATTGGTGTTTAGCTGCCAAAAACTGTTGTCAAATCATGTCTTGAGCAGCTGTTGGTGTGGAGTTGAGGTTACCATTTTCAATTCAGCTTTTTAGATCAATCAGCCAGTCAGAAATGTGGTATTGTCCATGCATTTTCTCTCTCTCTCTCTTTTTTTTAAAATTTAAATAATGACAGTTTTTAGAAAATGTGAAAATTTACTAGGTGGCTTTTTTGTGTTTTAGCCAGTCTTTCAGAGGAAGAAAAAGTCCCATCAGATATTAGTAAAATCTGCTCTAATTTTATTCTGTGCCTGGAAACTGAGACAAAATGATCAGACAAGCATTTTACCACTTCTTAAATTTTTATGCTCTCTCCCCTCCAATCACATCTTGCTCTATTCCTATAAATCTTCAGATTACTCCAAAGGAGGAGAATTTGTGGGATGTTGTGTATATTTACAGCTTCCTTACCCCAATTAATTCTGTCACAGAAATGGGGCATTGGTCATTAACCCAGAAGATATGCCAACCTTGACAAGAAATAAGTTGGTATGTTCAATTTATGTGCAGTTTTGTAAGTATTTCCAGAGGGGGGAAAAAAAATCTCATTTGCTGATAAAGCTACTGGTTTTAATTTAAAAAAGAGGGATCAAACCAAGAATAACAGATGTGATTCAGGAGGTTTGAGCCTGTCAGGGGTTTCTAAGAAGTAATTGCCAGAGTACTGGGAAGGCTGGCTATAATTCATCTATCTAGAAAATGTAAATTGCCAGCTCAGTGTAAATACAGAGAGGAAATATCAGTTCATATTCATTACATGCTATTACTCAGGGTACATCTAAAAGCTTTCTAAAGACCTGAGAGAATTCAAGTAGTGCCTCCTAACTTACAATTTAGCAGGATTTGTGAGTAAAAAAATAACTTACAATACATGGGAGCATTGGCGTGTGTTTGCAATTGGAATGTGCCGTGGTGCATAACAACAGCCTCTGAGGAGCAGAAAATTTGAATTTAGCCTGATAGTTCTGAGAGCATTAAATGGCATTAGCTGGAGGGAAGTTGAAAAGAAGAGTCTCAGCTCCTAAAAGAGAAAAGTGCAAGGGTGGGACATAAATCACATTCAGAGCTCTGCTCATTTTCTGAGGTGAAGAATGTAAGTGACATTTTCACACCTTAAATAGCAGATTCTTTGATGTACCTTGAAGGAACAAAATGGCTGAAGATTTTCCATTTGGTCTATAGATAACAATCCACAAAAACATTCCCCTCCTTTCTCTTCCATCTGACTTTGCCCTATGAACCTGCCTTGTTTGCTGGGAAAATAATTGATAGTTTATGCAGTAAAAAATTCTGTGAGATTCCAGTGACAACGTTTCCTCCTTGGGAAATTCGAGATTGAGGTTTGCTATTAAACAGGATGGAAAATAAAACCAGTGATGGATTTATGAATTTTTAAATTTTCAAACTCCCTCTGTGAAGTAAACATGAGCATAACTCATGCTGATGTATCTGTGAAAGGGTAAGGAGACACAGTCTGTTTTTACTGCAGCTTTGGGTGCTGAATATGCATAAGTGAATTAGTGTAAGTTTTACTTATATTCAAATGTTATTTTAAAATACATGTTGTTTTTTTTTTTAAATTATATTTGAAATGGTTCATCCGTGCTGAGGGCTGAATTTACCACAGTGTGCTGTAGACATTTGGATACAAATATTCTCACAGTGTGTGTTTTCTAATGAAGCTTTAAAAGCACTCAAACCACCAGAGGACTGCAGTTAACTGGAGACAGAATTTGTTTAAACCACATTTTGACAGAAACAATTGTTCAGGGAGAATATTTTTTGCTGTTTTATTTCATTCTGCTGATCAGCTCTATAACTTTTGTAGGTTTTTGCCTATTTGAAAGAGAAAAATAGTTGAAAAGGAAAAAGTGTTCTGCTGTACTTTGTGTGCATCGAAATTCGTGATTCTTAACTTTATGTAGAAGGAGGCAATAGGCTTATTTATGGATTTTAAATTCTGTTCTGCATAAGAATTTCACAGGAAATGCCAAAAGCTATATAGTAGAATAATCTAACAAAACAATCCTTTACATCATTTTTAGCTATGAAAGTGTGTGAGCAAATTCCACTCACAGAACGAGAAGTAAAGCTGGAGGTCTGGAACTTTCAGCCTATGTATTTGTTTAGATAACTAGAGATAGATTTATCTTATTGAAGGAAGAAATGTGTAGTGTAAATA